ACACGCCGTCTGTGGAGGAGGACAATGGGGACGGACTTCCTTGCGATAACGAGGAATATTTTCATAAGCTTACTCCTTCATCGCTTCCGCCATATACATTACACCTAAAACCGGGCTCGATTATCATGTTGTTGCGGAATTTAGATGTATCAGCCCAGTTGTGTAACGGTACAAGACTCGTGGTGCTCTCCATAAAGGCTGATAAGAAACTTCTGAAATGTAGAAATCTTAGCAATGGTGAGCCTGCTAATATAACTAGAATGCATCTTGATTACTGTAACGAGAAAAGCGGCATAGCTTTTCGTCGTTTACAATTTCCTATTCGTCTTGCTTTTTGTTTGACAGTCAATAAGAGTCAAGGTCAAACTTTCGATAAAGTTGGAGTTATTTTACGAACTCCTTCTTTTGCTCATGGTAGCACGTATGTTGCTTTGTCAAGGTGTACCACAAAGGAAGGGTTGAAAGTAACAAGAAACTGGGCCAAAGTTCCATCTTTACCCAAAACTCGCAATGTCGTTTACGAGGAGATTCTGTGATTGAGCCGTGGTACTACTTACTATTCTCTTTATCAAGATAGTTTTACATAAGTACGTAAAGTAAGGTTCACATATGAGAAATTTTCGAAGTTGTGTTGACTGCAGTAAAGGATCTTCTTCAAAATGACAAGGTATGTTACCATAACCCGCACTTATATGCTGTTTTGGTTATCCAATCCTCTTTTTTAGCGTACCCAACAACATGAATGATATCTATCAGTGTAAGAGCAGACATTTCAGAGCAAAAACCAGTGAGTTTTTACTTATAGTGTGCAAGTTTTATCGCTAAAGTATGATGGACGGTTTAGTGAGAAAAGATACTCGATGTAACAGTGAGAGATGTTGAAGACTTCAACTACATTCCTTGCAAAAAATTTTGTCAAGACTTCCTTGTCAACGGTTTAGCAATAACTTGGCTGTTCTGTAGATGCGTCAAGGGCTGCGAAAATATTGGTTGTACTAATAAATTTTGCTCGTGTATTCTCTATAAAATGCATACTTCTAAATTTTTTGTGGTTTGCCGCACAATTGATCCATAGAGACGATTTTTTAGATTGTTTTTGGTCTCATTATGTTGTGTATGTTAACACGTTGACGACCGAGCCATTTTGGGCGAAACT